TGCTGTGTAATCTTGAATCCGTATTCCGAGTAGTACGCGAACTGATCGCTAACGAGAACGAGGCGGCCACCCGGCTCCTATGCCGAGCGGATGGTATGGGACAGTCGCCGCTGCACTATGCTATGAGGAGCGGTTTCGATATTTTTACTGCAGTTTACAGCACTGTGGACGAGGAAAGATATCATGCTTTACTATTTGACGCTATGTTGTCAACAGATAAGCAGGGGCTAACGCCTTTACACTTCGCTGCCGTCGAAGGACACACTTCGGTATTCATAACTTTTTTCGAAAATATCTCAGCTAATATGAGGCGGAACAAATCGCAGCAAGTTAATGAAGTTGTCGCAGGTTGCCTCAACATAGCAATAAGGCTGGGAAATGATATACTTGTGGCGAAGTTGTCTTCATGGGCCCATACCGAATATATTCCGCCCCGGGGACAGTCGGCCTTCCACTTAGCAGCGAGGGCCGGTCGATGTGACTATATGACAGTGCTGATCAACGCATGCGCTTTAGACGATCTAAACTTGGATATTGCCGATTCATGTGGGCGTACACCACTAATGGATGCTGCCATGCGTGGTCATACTTCAGTAGTTGAGCTGCTTCTTAAAGCGGGAGCGAACCCGTTGTTGATAGATAATTCGGCCTGGACAGCTCAGAAGTATGCGGTGCATCGCGGTCATTTAACTGTAGCGGCTCTTCTCCCGAAACCACCCAACCCGTCGGCAAGGCAATTGATTGAGTCCAAAGCCACATCAACCGTGGACACCTCACCCAGCGTCTCTCTCGCCATTGCTGGCTGTCGCCCTTCGAAGTCTGCACTAGTGATCTACCTTGGGAGTATGCAACTGAGCAACAATCGATCCCCAGTGCAACTAGTGGGGAAATCTGATGCGGTGCCACTAAGTCCGTCGGTCCCAGATCTGCATCGTTTGGAATTGTCCGTGAATCAAACGGACAAGCAATCCCAAACAATTGATCTCCCATTTCTAGAGGATCATTCCAGCAAACCGCTCATATTTGAGCTAGATACGGGGGCCGAGCCGCAACTTCTCATTAGATTGTTCAAGGATGATATAGTGGATGGGTCATGTTCCTCGCCATATGCAGCTGGTGCCGTCTTTCTGCGTGGTGTCATGGCTATGCATGGGCACCAGAGTGAAAGCTTAATTAGAGAGAACACAATCATATTACTGAGCCTGGATTCACAAGAAACTATTGGCACAGTTCTATTGACATATATGATTGCCCGACCGTTTGGGCATCCTCAGGACCGGATGCCAACGTCGAATCCAGTCTCGCATGAAAGTGGCCAGATGACGCTGGTCGCACATCGAGGTACGTACTTGACCAATCCTTATCATGAAAATAACGGAAGCCGACTCCTAGTTAGGTTTCGGCCAGAATTCTCTAGATACAAGTCACCTTCAGATAGGCGAGAACACGATTGGAGTGAGTTTAGACAGGTTCCATTTGAGGCATTCGTGCTAACCCGGACACAAAAGTCCTTCATAGTGGCCGCGGACCACGGGGCTACATTTGTCGAGGTATTCTTTGTCAAGAAGTCAAACGTCATTTGATTAGTTGCTAATAGCTTATAGTTTGGTAAACACCTTGGACATTATAGTTAACGTCATACTGAGGCTGACAAGCGCATCAGATGCTCAAGTTTCTAGGGACCTGCAGACGGTTATTTACCATGATTTCTCCTTGAGCGAAACAGGGACAGACATACCGATTCACGATGTGACTATTGATCAGTACAAGTATGCCAGCAGCGTCCAGACACCTTATGGCAGCCCTCTAGTTTCACCCGATGAGCAGACTGTTATTGGTAGGAGTACAGCTGTCAGACGATCTCGCTCGTTTGATGGACAGAAAGATCTCGGTACCCTCCTTATAAGAGATCGACTAAAGCATACTGTTGATTTCAAATCAAAAGGCATGAAGCCGAACACCCGTGGAACTGTTATCCAGGAGCCACTAGTGACGTTACCAGAGCTGTTTCAGAGGCTCCCACCTGGCCTTGGTTTCAATATCGAGATTAGTGAGTTGTAACAACCCTCGTTTGGCTCATCTACCCTAATGAATACCACCAGAGTATCCAAGACTTCACGAGGCCGTTGACGCGGGCATTGCACCTATCGCTCTTGAGATCAATCTCTTCGTGGACACGGTCTTGGAGCAAATCTGCCAATTTGCTGATCAACGACCCATAATACTCTCGTCCTTCACCCCGGAGATATGCATCTTGCTCTCTATCAAGCAAAAGACATACCCCGTGCTATTTATATCCAACGCTGGCAAGCTGCCTGCTAACGATTTAGAGAGAAGAGTTGCAAGCGTGGAGGCAGGGGTGCACTTTGCTAAAACATGGGGCTTGGCAGGCCTCTGCTTGGCCTCTGAGCCGCTGATGCTTTGTCCGGAACTAATCAGTGACATCAAGCGTTCCGGTCTGCTCTGTGCCTCTTATGGTCCGCAAAATGGTGTACCAGATAATGTTCTGGTGAGTCTAAGCCATAATGCCCCGCAACGCTCGAGGCTCTAAAGATACTCGGGGCACGGCGTGACCAAGTTTCTTCGCTAATGCCAAACCCGAGCAACAGATACAGAGAGACGCGGGTCTAGATATGATCATGGTGGACAAGGTGGCCCTTATTGCCAATACGCTTAAGCAGCAAAATTAGACTAGAAGGAAACGAGCAGCATTGAGATCGAGCACGCCTGTAATGCTGGCATACTCTGTTGAGGATCACCCTGTGTAGAATGAGGAATCCTTCATGTGTGGTGGAAGTTGTAGCAGAGCCCAGTTTCGGATCCCAAACCTTCTGCCCAGTATATTTCGTGCCAAGTCCTCAACAAGTACGTACAACATGCCTAACGCTCCGATCTTTGAAATTCTTCAAGTCTCCACAGCTTGTTGTTTGAAGATCTTTAATATGCCGGGGTATGTGCAATTCTCATCAAATTTCGCATACCGATCTGCTGCACTGGAAATCTGGGATGTGGATCGAGTGTTCATAAGCACCTGTGTAGCACGAGGCCTCCGAACACTCTCAATTTTCTTGAGAATTTCGGGAATATCTTCTCGTGCGATACCAGGTTTCGTAAGAAGACGCAGACCATCGGCGTCCTCGATAGCCATGTTGGCCCCTGTTCACTTAGAGTCAGCAACCCATGAAGTATGGAGGTGGTGAGTCTCACCTTGACCCTGTAAAGGTGTCATCGCATGAGCGGCATCGCCAATGAGGATCGCGCGTCCAGACGTCCACGTCGGCAAGGGCTCAAGATCCTGGAGCTCCCATAGCTTCACTTCGGTAGCGACGCTTCACATCATCAGCCAACGAGAACGCAACCAATCATCAATCCCGACTACTCACCGCAACAATGTTCTCAGGTCTTCGTCAAAATCGTCATAGATTTCGAGGATTTCGTCTCGGTCCGCATCGGCATGCCATGATTCCGTGGTGCTCTCCCTCTCCTTCTGAGTCCGGAACACCCATGCCATGTTCATGCAAGTGTAGCCTCGGAGCGGATACAGCACCATCATTCGCGAAGTACCATCTAATGCCTCGACGATTTGCATATGGCCCTGACCAGCTTTACGTTGGTCTTCCCACCACCGCGGTAGCTTTCCGAGGGCCTTCTCGGCCTCTTCAGCCGACACCATGACACGGCAACATGTCAACCCCGTCTTGCGAGCGCTGACGGGCTCATCGAGAAATTTATTGCGCAGGCGAGAATGGATACCATCAGCGACTATAGCGCCACGTTAAATTTTTTCGCACCGGATTCCGTAAGAATGCAGTTAGCAGCTTACCTACGACAACATCGGCCTCAACAAGAGCGCCATCTGCCAACGTAATTCTCCCAGCTTCTGCATCGAGGTCGACAGCGCCATTATGCCACACCATAGAAGCAGGAGCCGCGCTCGCATCGAGGCCCAAGTCTTCAGGGGGAGCCGTGGCCAGCCGCAGCAGTTCCGTCCGTACATCAACGCGCATGTGGGTCACAAGCGGCGAGCCATACCGCTCCCTCGTGTTGAATTCCGTGCTATGGAGGTGCTTCCCGTGCTTATCGGTGGTCTTCCAGCCCGTGAGCTCGACGGAGCCTACGCGTCTATAGTCGAAGCCCATATCGGTGAGAATGTGCGTCGAGTTCGGGAAGCTCGCGATGCCTTGGCCGCCGGTTGCAACGGAGGGCTCCCCGCGCTCGTAGACGGTGACGTCGTGCGCCTCCCGCAGGATACGGGCTGCGGCTAATCCGGCAAGGCCAGAGCCGACGATGGCTACGCGGAGGCGAGTTTCATTGGTGGCCATGATTATGTGTTTCCTGGTCGGTTGAGAAGGGCCGAGTGCTTAGGGAGGGCTGCAAAAGTTCAACGCTCTGCTTGAAGCCAGAATAGTTCCTCTTCCCAAGGAGAAGGGAAACGCATGGCTCTTATAATGTCACATGCTCATCCATAGAGCACAGCATACATGGTAATGAGGCCCTTCTGGATACAGCCGAGCGCTCACGGTACTATCGGCGCGCCATTGATGGGTTCGGAACAGGCACCCCGAGCCATCAGCCGAAGGCTCTCGGAGTGCCAAACGAATCACTCGGGGCCGGCTTCATCGAGTCGAACCCAAGTGTTACGACTAGCCGTTGGCGTCTCCTCCCTTTCCCTGTGTGTAACACGGCGGTAAGGCGGCTCGGCTCCAGCGCTTCACGTACCGCAGACAATTTGGGCCCGAAGCGCAGCGCGGAAGTCCGAGCGGCGATAAACCAGTTACCCACTGGGGGTTCGGAAGGACACGGAGACATGGAGGACACTCGCTGATCTGGTCTACTTTTAAGGGTCAGTGAGCACTACAGCTTTAGTCTGTAGCCGCTATTAGATAGGCCGGACGAGTACCTAACCTTCTCCACCGAGCCATTCTTAGCTCGCGTCCTACCTAGGCCAGAGTCATAGGGTGCACTAGACCCGCCACTGAACATCATCAGTCCTTCAAGCATCTCGATTGGTCTAGTGGTAAGGATACCTGCTTGTCATCGATCCAATTGATCGCAGGTGGCCGGGGTTCGATTCCCCGATCGAGAGGTTCGTTTTTTAGCCGTCCCCATCCATAATTGGCTGGGCCTACCTGTAGGTAGGTAGGTTAAGTATCTAGCTAGGCGTCCGACTTGTCTTTTTGCATTCAACTCTCACATTGCATGATGCCCGATGCTGTTTCAGTTCACAGCAGGTCTCAGCCCATCACTACCTAGACGAGGTATTAGATACCGACCTTTTGTGAAGCCCTGACATCGACACTCAAACCATCTTCGTCATCATCAGCGTTTCTCTCGCAGGTGCGCGATGGGACCCGAGAAGACCGAGGTGGCGGTCTACTTCTAAGCAGGTAAGGTGCCTTAAGGTAGATCGGCAAATGCTGCGACCTGGAGCCTGGTGTCTTTTAACTATAGCCTATGGCTGCAAACCTAGCAAACATGTGTGTGTGTGTGGCCGCGTTACCAACCGAAGTCCTCTAACCCAGAGCCTTCTAAACGCCATCTCCTCTATATGCAATGCATTACAGCGCAGCCTTAATGCCAACGGGGCCCAACACCTCATGGCGTGCCTTCCCATCCCTCACCCCAACCGCGACCGCAGTTCGGTTCCCCTGATCCACCGTCCATTTGATCGGACCATCCGGCAGCGCCTCGACGCCCAGCAGCCCTTTCAGCCCATCGACGGGCGGCACCATGCCGTTGTCCGCCGTGGACTTGCCGCCGTACCGCTCCGGTATTGACTCGATATCGATGATCTCCAGGAGCGTGGGCAGCACGTCCGCCGGCGACACGATGACCAGCTTCGTCGCCGTCCCCGGGTCGATCCACCCCTTCAGGAACGCCCAGATCTTGGAGAAGTACGGCGGGGCGTTCAGGACGTAGATCTTGTCCACGACCTCGGGGTAGCATGTCGCCAGCAAGCCCGTGATGCTTTGTGCGTACCCCCGGAGGCTCCACGCCTGCCTGAGGGTGATGTACGTGATATCTACGAGGTAGACCGCGTTGGACACGGGCTGGTCGGGGTTTGGCCGATCGGTCATCGCGGAGCACAGAGGCAGCACGAAGCGTGTCAGGTAGTCGAGTGACGTGATTGCGCGGCATGTAATCTGCGACGGGGTATAGGCGTTATATTTTGCGAACTTCTCACCGTCCACTGTGGTACCCCGAGTCAGTCATCACGTTCTCGAGAGCCCATTCGTAAGCGTCTCGATAGCACAGAATGCTCTTCGGAGAGGCCGTGGAGCTCAAGGGTCTTGGTGATGACCGGCATGCGCAGATCACCTTGAGTATCACTTACGATTGGCCGCGTCCAGGGTGCATAACGGGAGGCCACGCTTTGTCCTGTGACCTGACCAGTGGGGATACTACTCATCTCAAATGTTAGCCCCCATGAGAGCGATGCGTAGAGATGGGCATAGTCAATAGCCTGGGGAAGTCGTGGCTACATACGATAGAGCGCAAGTGCTCGAAGTCATCGATGTCGATGGTATCATATGCTCCGGCTGTATTAACTGAGGTTCGGATAGCCTGAGCTTCCTTAAATTGCCGGAGGGCCCCAGGTATGTCGAAGGCGCGGGCGTAGAGAAACCGGCTGGACACTCATTAGCAATTCGCGGCGTATGAGAAGGTTAACTGCCATACAATAAGGTTATCTCATCGTTCAGGCCGTCTAGAGCATCTTTATCTGATAGACCAGCAGGGCGCTCGAGGAGTCCTTGCTCCTGGCATTTCTTCATAAACGACTGGAGGCATTCCTTCCCATCGGCCGTGAGTCCGGTGGTGGAGTCATCCACCACTCCGTTGACGTTCTCCGTTTCACCTGCTCTCGGTTCTCCGTTGGTGGAGCCGATAAGTTGTCCGTTCTCCATCTTGCTCGGTCCCAACCCTCCGGTTAGTGTGTTGAGATCGTACGATACCAAAGCTGGTAATATCACGAGAGATATACACGCTACCTAGGCCAGCAAGTGGGATTTGCTTATTGGGCCGATGGACCCTGGGATACGGCCTGTGGTGTGGGATATTGCAATAGGATCTGGGAAGGATCTCGAGAGCTGACAGATGGACCTGAGTGGGATACGGTATGCATTTACTAAGCTTGGCGTTTTCGGGGCTGCCTTTTCGGGTCGGCTGGCATCTCCTGAGGTTGCCTCAATTACGCAGAGAAAGTACCGTAACAAGACGACGCGAGTCTCTGGGAGCTCATATGGGTTATGTACTGCCACCGGCAACAATCCCCAGAGCGGTGAAGGGAAATTGAAGTTTAGCCCACTAGTCAGGAGTTAAAGTAACAGCGATTTCCGGAATCTCAATTGGAGAGGTATTGGAACAAAGACAGAATCGGCCGTGGGACATTTCCTAATCGTGCTAAGCGCATCCATTCCCTTTGAAAACTCTTACTGCACAGATACCTACCTATCTGTGAATAGGTATTGCGGCCCTGGCAAAGGTGCTGGCGATAGGACGCCCATAGATGCATGTCGCCTGGTACTGCATACCGGAATCGAATTGGGAAAATTCCACTGTGGCAATCTTTCCTCTTTCTGTTTAGGCCAAGTGACACCCGTGTCTAAGCACTGTAAGCAACAAGAGATCGACGTGAATCTAGGCCCGACAAAATGCTGTAAGGAATATCCGTCCTACGTACGTATATGTATGTCGCTTGGTCTGTTCGATCGAGCGCCTGATGTTCGCAAATGATGGCGTGCGCCACCTTTTCGATGGGCAAGGGCATACGTACGGCATTCCTCGCCAGCTCGCTACCGACCTGCCTAGTAATCCGACACTTGAGGACTTAGATGGCATTTGAGTAGCATCTCGTAGCGGTGAGTGGAGTTCTCATGTTTCCAGTCTACTCACGCAATTCCAATCCCTCTATGACGGGAGGCTGTCGCCAACGCATTCGCAGCTCCCACCATATTTCCTCTCAGCAGACATCCGCATCATCATCTCCGAATATCTCGAGGTTTGTGAGCAAAACCAGAGAAAAGTCATTGCCGGGCAACGCCTCACGGATCAAGAAGGTCATTCAAATTCAGCTGCCACCTGGACGCCTTATCCATAGTTTCCTGGTTACGGATGTGAATGCCCCAAGTCAGGGCGGCCGGAAACTAACACGGTTGTGATCGCCCGTTGACGTTGACTTGGTACACTGCGACGACCTTGTCAATGGCAAGCGGCGCGACTGATGTGGGGAGACATTGACAGAAAGGTGGAATGAAAGTGTACCGAGCTTCTGTAGGGAGGCGCCGGCAAGGAGCGGCCTAAAACCGTGAAGGCCATCTGTAGGGGCCGTTCGTGTTTGCGCCCAACCGCAACCGTACGCGAAGCCAACAGCTGGCGTGACGATTCCCGGCCCAGCGACGTAAAGAATGATTCGTTACGTCGGACTCTATCCTACCTGGCTTCCAAGGCCCAAGCCCAAAGCGATTGCGCTGGATATTGAAACCCCCCATCGAGCGAGCTCATCCTTCAGCAGCAGAGGTAGGTCCGGAAACAGAGAGAGAGAGAAAGTCGTCGACTGCTCAACTCAGCTTCTTGGTCGCCTTGGCCGGGTTCCCTTCCGCGGCAAGCGGGTTGCGACCAGTTTCAATATCACAGCGAGCGACAGCCTCCTTGGTCAGTGAGGTGAGCCGTGTTTGGCACGCGCCTTTGCCAGCCGAATAATCGCAGCGCCTCTCAAGCATGAACCCGGCAAACAATCATAATTTCCCACAAACAGTGCATCTTATAACCGTTCGTTTCGAGGGCACCGCCTAGATGTGGCATGCAAGCCGGACACGAAAACGCCCGCTGCGTCGCAGGAAAGGCGCCGTCGGAGAAAACTCTTGTTGTGTAACGGATGACTGTCCAAGGAAGCCCAGTAGGCATTGCCGTTTTACAATACCTACTTGGAGGAAACGTGAGGAAACGTGAGCTGACATCTCCCCCGCTGTGGGGTATCTTGACCGCTGGTAACATAATCCTCAAGTACCTAACCCTGTACGAAGCAAAGGATGGGTTTAGTTACGGCACTGATCTCAGCGCAAGCCCATGGGCCATGGCGCAACACTTCCCTGTTCCCCGAATCTGCTAGGCAGGTTCAGGCATAGGTACTTATTTACTTACCTGCTACCAAGTACAGACAGGCAGCCGAGCCTAAGTTACTCTTGTTGAATGCAACGCATCACATGGAACTGGGACTTGCCGCCCGTCCATCTCTCATTGGCTTCATCCTGCAGAAGGCGATCCATGGCGCCTTGGCTCTTGCATTATCGCAAAGCCCCTCGATGGATAGATACCTGACCGATTTGTTTTGGGTAATTACAAAGTTAGATATTTTCATTCACACCAGCCCAGACCACGTCAAAACATCAGACGGATCGACCATCATACTGATCATACGGGTCACACGGTATTGACGTAGCACACAATCTCGTCCCTACACCGTGCTGTTACTACTCTCGGCGTCTTTCTATCTCTTCGCTTTCGCTTCTTTGGGGACCTTACTCTCCCGCACTCCGCAATGGCGCTTGGCTCGGCAACTCCAGACTCCTCACGGCTCCTGTCGATGCCGGCCGAGATCCGGAACATAATCTATGAGCTTGTCCTCATCCGCGAGTGGGGAATTACCTCACAGGATTTCGTCGTCCTCGACCGACCCCTGCCCGCCTTCTTCCGCACCAACAGGCAGATCCGCTCTGAGGCCCTGGATCTCTTCCTGCTCAGAAACCACATCCACGTCTACACGAGCTGGATCGGCCTCAAATGGCTCAACATCCTAGGGACCGACGTCTGCAGGTTCCGCTTCCTGATCCTCTTCATCGACCTCAATGTCGAGGAATGGCACAAATACCTGAAAGCTCTCTTGCCCCTCGTCTCACGGTCTCTCGAGCTGAGGGTCCGAAATGCCGCCGCCTCGCTATCCGAAGCCAAGTTCCATTGCTTTCTGGAAGATGCCGGGTTGTATGATGGCCATCGTTGGACTATCGAGGAAAACGGCACCAATGAGAGAATTTTCAGACAGATTCAGGGTTAGGCTGTCCACGGCCAGACGGCACGCGGGGCTCGTTG